TCTCTCTCTCTCTCTCTCTCTCTCTCTCTGTGTGTGTGTGTGTGTGTATGTATGTGTACACATGTGCTTGACACTTGAGATTTTCATGGGCAGAATTTGGTACACCTTATGAACTAAAAGTCCTTCTTGACTGCTTCTTAATTTCTTCATTATGAAATATGTACTCCTCCTACTTGGGAGTTCAGTGGATATTGGGGTAAGGTATCTAAGAAATGTGTAAGTTCTAAGCAACAGGTTCTAATCCATTTATTTTTAATCTATAATAGGATAAGTACCCTCCTTCATTGTCTATTGCTTATCACATTTTGTATGCTTTATTTAGCCTCAGAATATACTTTTGAGCAGTATATACCCACTTGGGGACATAAAAATTGTAGATTTTGGAATGTCTCGAAAAATTGGAAATGCATGTGAGCTTCGGGAAATCATGGGAACACCTGAATACTTAGGTAAGAGTTCCATTTAATTTTTATACCATTTTGAAATTTATAAAGATACTTCTTTAAAAGTATATTTTATGATAGAGGTGAAGCTCATGAGATAGAGTGCTTGCTTAGTACCAAAAACAAACAGGAAAGCCCTCACATATTTTAGATTACACAATACCAGGACTCATTTGATTCAGAAGTTGAATGCATTCAAATTTGATTATGACTCATTAGATGAGCCATAATGAATACAGGACTGTGTAAGCATTTGGAACAGCTCACAGGACATTGGCTAAGTGTAAAAGTATATTACATGTTTATACTGGCTGTGTGTGTAAGGAAAAGAGGAAAGCGTAAGAGGGAAATCAGTAGCAAATAGGCAAAAGATAGAGATGAGAGAAACAGGACCTCTGAGGCCGGCTGAAGTGGCTCTCACATCTACTTCTGTCTGCTCCTGGCCCGAGCTGGGTGAGCTGTGTGCAGTGCAACCTTTGGTTTTGCAGGTGCTGTTCATTGTTTGTCGCTGTTGTTTTCAAACGAGAGAGTTTTCAGTAGGGCTGTAAGGAGGAGGATTCTGGGCAAAAGGATACCAGAAAAGATGATGAGGTAATCTAGGATAATGTACCAAATTAACAAGTTTTTGATTACTCACACAAAAAATTCTTAAGATGTGTGAAAAGCAGATAAACATCAAATATTGTGAGATAGCTATCTTTTTTTTATTTTTAACCATTTCTTATTGTTCAATCATGAGAATGTTAAAGGTGAGAAAGTTCTTTTTGAAGAGATTATAAAATCATATTGAGAAACAGTCGTTTTTTAGCTATAAATACTATTTGGGGATTTACTAATTGGAAGATCACTGTAAGGTTCAGGAAGTATAGATAATTTACGTTACATTTTGGAGGGACAAGGAAAGAGACAGGTGGAAATTGCTTAGGAAGTTAGGTTGTTGATAACTTAAGAATATTTAATCTGCTTGAAAAATCTTGGCATTCATAAGATTTTTTTTCTTTAATGTCATAAGAACACGATCTGTTTTACCTTTAAGAGATAAGCTTACATGAAGCCAACAAGATAATATAAGTTAATAAAAAGCAATAAAACTGTACTTGTAAAGATTATGCTCCCGCCATTTCATTTCTTCCTAATGCTTTTTCTGCGGTCATCTTTAACGCACTGGCTCTCCTCCCGCAGAGCTTCAAGCTCCTCTAGGACAGCACTGACTTGGTCCACAGCCCACTTAGTCAGATTTTCAAGTATTAGATAGCTCTTAGTGTCTAATTTCAAAGTAAAACCTCACTAAATTTCTATTGGGTTTGTATTACTCTGCCTTTCATAACAAATCAAGTTCTAATTTAATGCAAGGTGATTATCATGTTTTAAAGTTTGCCTGTGTTGAGTCTTAGTTTAATTTTCTCTTTCAGCTCCAGAAATCCTCAACTATGATCCCATTACCACAGCAACAGATATGTGGTAAGACCCTACTGGAGGCCTAATAACAACCTTTCAAAATTGAATAATATATATTTAGTATTTTAAAAATAGCTTTAACAGTAAAAATAAGGCTTTTAAAATATTTCTAATTGATTCTTTGTGAATTTTACATCATACACCCCAGTCCCGCTCATCTCCTTCTCTCTTCATAGTCACCCGTCACCCTTACAGCCTCACCTCCTCCCCTAAAGTAAAACATACACACACACACACCAAAGCATAGAAAACGTCTCACTGTGGAAGCTGGAGTGTGTCACAGTGTGTCCCACAGTATATCCCTCTGTCCGTGCATCTTCACTTGCAAGTGTTCATTGCAAGTTTTGGGGTCGGCCAGTTCAGATAGCTGAGTTGGCTAGCCCACCAACTCTCCTAAGGCTTTCTTTCAGAAATTTTATTCAAAAGGTACCATTAAAGGATTTTTACCTACTTTTAGTAAGCTCTTGAGCCAGAGAGAGGCACAGAAATAGAAACTCCTCCCTCCCATTGATCATCTCAGTTGAGTAAGAGTGAACCAGCCTGTATCAGTGACACACACTCTGTAGTCAAGTAAATTGCTCAAGAAGCTAGGATGACACATCAGTCAAAGCATGAGGCCCTACCTAGCTATGTGAGTCTAGAAGAGTTAAGCATTTGCTGAGCAGAATGAGGTCAGAAGCACACAGAGACTCAAGTTTATAAGGGTTCACCTGTAGGGAATTGTGGGGCTTGCAGCCATCTCAAGAGACATTCACAGGGACTAGCACTGGTATTGGCATTGGAATTTCTGTTGAGACCAACTGACTTCATAGTCCAAGTGAACAGTTTAGCCTTATTGTCCTGGTTCTTTGAAACTGATGTGCTTGCATTGGTACAAAAGGTCTGATGGCTAAGTCCATGTGTAAGGCCTGGTGTGCTGACTTGTTCTGGCTCCTGGCTGGCCTTGTTCTTAACATATTTACAGCTTTGAGAAATTGTACCCATTTAGCTTTGTGCTTTGCTAAACTTGCAGCCTTTTTCACAGAACCCTGGCTACATCTCTCAGATCATTATTGTCATGGGGCAAACGAACAAATGTCTGTACTGAAGGCTGTAGATAAAATGATATACTCAGTGGATTATGTCGAAGTTATATGTAACATATCTGTGGACTCCCTGTTCTCTTGGTGAGGCAAATACAACACAACTATTTTAGTTTTTATGGTACAGTAATCTCTAGAAGCAATTTAAGTATTTTTTAAGCTTTGCCAGACTTGTGGACTATTAATTGTATTCTCTATAAATACTGTTAAATTAATGTGCATTTTAAGTTCCCTTCTCTCTTCTTTGTTTTTCAGGAATATTGGCATAATAGCGTATATGTTGTTAACTCATACATCACCATTTGTAGGAGAAGATAATCAAGAAACATATCTGAATATTTCTCAAGTAAATGTAGATTATTCAGAAGAAATGTTTTCATCAGTTTCACAACTGGCCACAGACTTCATCCAGAGCCTCCTAGTAAAGAATCCAGAGTAAGTAATGACCTTAATTAAATGCTGTTACAAAACAAATACCAGATGCCTGATAAAGATGCATTCTACACAAAAATGGAAGTCATGTCTCTTTATCCCATGTTTGGAAACTGTTGGAGATTGGCATGAGTTGAAAGGAACTGCTAAGAAAGAGGGAGGGGTTATGGGGAAGTGGGGCAGGGGGTCTCAGTAATAAAACCTATTATGTGTACATATAGAATTATTTCAGTGAAACCTATTTTATAAAACTAAAAAATGACAGTAAAATAAAATTAACATTAAATTCACAAGAAAGGTACATTCTAAAGTTATATAAAATTATACATTGGTAAAATGTGAAGAAAGTTGATATGAAAGTCCATTAAATAAAAAATATATAACTCTAAGCAAAAAGAAAGAAAACAAAAAACTTACAACAGGAAGCTTAGAATGAAGGTAAGATTTGAGATAATGTTTTCTCAAGCAACTGCTAATCCTTGGCTTACTACAATGGGACTTCAGTGTGAATGATTTCCAGTTAAATTGGCCTGTTACATAATAGACAAAATTTACCAATTACCAGATCTTAAAGGAGTAAATGTCTATTCATGTGTGGCTTTATTTTATATATAAAAATTAAGCAAATTTTGATTGCTTAAAAAGAAAAAAAAAGACAGCCAGGAAGTACAGAGTATCTTTCACCATGGTATGTGCTAAAACTGTAATGAATCATGGTATTTACTGGAGAAAGGACGTGACCCTAGCTCCAGACCCTTGGTCATTGGCAGTTTCGAGGCAAGGAGAGGCACAGCTCTTGTTTAAGACGTCCTAGAGCTGCAACCTGCAGGCCATTGGTCTCACTTTCTAGACTTCTAGTTTTGACATATAGTCTCCTAGAGAACTCAGTTTCTTTATCTGCAAGAAAAGAGATAGGTTCCTGAATATTTTATTGGATTAGTTTGATTCCAGACAACTCTTTCAGGGTATATATTGGACATAAATACTTACTTTATATAAAGAGTAAAATTATGGTTTTTGTTTATAAGCCATTTTTGTTTTCTTAAATAGTCTTTGCCTATATTCTAAATTTTCTGTAGTAAGTACATTACTACTTTAATTATAAAAAAACTATACACAAAAGCAAAAGATTAGAAATATCTATCTACCAAATGATTGCTGTTTAATCTTTGAGTTTGTAGATGTTTTCCTTCTTTCGAATAACAGAAAGTAATCTTAAAATTCAAAGTATTGGATAAATATCATTGAAGACTATCTTTTCAAGATTTAAGTTACTGTTTTAAAGCATAAGTGCTGAAAATAAGTCACTGATTTATAGTTCCACCAAAGATTTTCCAAATTGAAAGAACTTAAAAATAAATCAAGTGTTTATTCTGTAATAAAGGAATCTAAAAATCAAGAGCAGCTCCCATTGCTCTGTAGACCATGACAGGTCGTCATTGTCATTGGCTAGTGGTTTTCTAAGTTGTACTTCCAAGAAAATATTTATGGGAATAGTTATCTTTTCTGTCTCACCTTACTCAATTTGAATTCTATGGGCTGAGGGCAAGGCCAAATGGTAGAGTTTCCTTCACTTATGTGATTCCCAAGCACTGAAAACTAGTTTATATAATAAAGACTAAGAAAGAAAGGTCAAAGTTCAAAAGGTACATCCTGAATACTATAAAAACTTAGTTATTTTCTATAATTTTCTAGAAGATCCTGGTATTATTGAGTATTAGAGGTAATTAGGAGGGGACCTAAAACCATGTTTCAGAATACAAAAATAAATTTATACTCTGGAGATGATCAACTAAATCTCTAGAAAGCCTTTCCTTAGTGTTCATTAGGTCATTGTTTATAACATCAAGATTTTGAAAGCACCAATAGGTATCTGGTTAGACAGATTGTGGTATATATACTACTATGGAAGAGCGATAAATAAAATACCTTTAATTCTGTATTCATGTAGAAAGGTAATTAAAAGATGTATTGTCTACTTTGAGCTACTACCTCACCAGTCAGAGCTGCTATCATCAAGAAACCAGATAACCCATGTTGGAAAGGATGTAGGGACAGAGAAATCCTTATTCACTGATTGTGAGAGTGCAAGTTAATACAGTCACTGTGGAAGTCAATGTGTAGATTCTCTAAAATTCAAGATAAAATATTGTATTACTCGGCTATTCATATCTGGACAGAGGCCCAGAGGAACTATATCCTACCATAGAGATATTTGTACATCCATGATTATTGGTGCTGTATTTGCAATAGAAAGGAAATAGAACAAACAGAGATGTCCATCGATAGATAAATAGATAATGAAAATGTGGTACATATATAAGATGAAATATTATTCAGTTGTAAAGAAAAACCATGAAATTTGCAGGAAGGTAAATGAGTGAACTTAGAAAGTAGAATATGAAGTGAGGTGCTTCAAACTAAAGGAAAATATCCGTATGTTCTGCCTCATATGCAGATCTTAGATTATAATATGTACATATATATATATATATATATGTGCAGAGCTTAAAGTGTAGGTATAGTATAACATCTAGGAAGGAGAACAAGACAGGGTGCTATTAAGTGGTGAGGAAGGGCGGAATGCAGGCCAAAGACACATGAGCCATGAAAGAGGACATATGGTTAATTGTTCATCTGGTTTCAACCCTGTCACAGTTTTCTCTTTGTGTGTGTGTGTGTGTGTGTGCGCGTGTGTGTAAACGCACGTGTGATGGATAAGTGCATAAAAATGTGGCTGACAGTGAAAGTGTAAACCCTAGGTGAAGCTCCATGGCTGCAGCATGCCATTTTAACTATGCAGACATTCACTTAGATGAATAGTTTGTGACTGGGCAAATGTTTGTTTGAATGGCTACTTAATCTAACTGCATGAAATCTTTATTTGTGAGCTCATTACAATAAAATGGTTTTGTTTAATAAAAGTAAAATGTATTATCAAGTGCTCAAAGAAAGCAATGAGTGCTCCTTCAGGAGATAATGTGACCGAGCTCTAACTGACCTCAGTAAGCCCTATTTTTTAAAGGTTCCACCACCTTCCAGCAATGCCACAGACTGGTGGCCATGTCTTTAATACAGGGTCCTTTGGGGGACTAAAGTCAGTATCCAGACTGTGGCATGTTACAGTGACAGGCTTGGGAAATTTACCTCAAACCAAATCTTGTATCTTCCCTCCAATGGCCTGTTAAATGTCAGCAGTGGTACCTCTTTCTTAGATTTCTTGTGATGATTAAATAAAAAATTAGATGCATGTGAAGTAGCCCTGCCGTATCCATAAGCATTCAATAAGATATATCCACCATTCTGCTTGGACTTTACTATATGTACTGTCTTTGCGTTTTTGTTTTTTTGTTTTTTTGTTTTTTTTGTTTTTTCGAGACAGGGTTTCTCTGTGTAGCCCTGGCTGTCCTGGAACTCACTCTGTAGACCAGGCTGGCCTGGAACTCAGAAATCCTCCTGCCTCTGCCTCCCAAGTGCTGGGATTAAAGGTGTGTGCCACCACAACCAGCCTTCGTGTTCATTTTTAAGTGTACTTGGAAGACATGCTCAGCTTGCCTTGAGTGCTCACCTTTTCCTCTGCTTTCTGCCAAAGGAAAAGACCAACAGCAGAGTCCTGCCTTTCCCATTCATGGCTGCAGCAGTGGGACTTTGGAAGCTTGTTTCATCCTGAGGAAACTTCAGGTTCCTCTCAAATTCAGGATCTGACCCTCAGGTCCTCAGAGGATAAGACCCCCAAGTCCTCCTGTAATGGAAGCTGTGGAGACCGGGAGGACAAGGAAAACATCCCTGAGGATGGCAGCTTAGTTTCTAAAAGATTTCGATTTGACGACTCCTTGCCCAGCCCCCATGAACTCGTTCCAGATTTGTTCTGTTAGCATTTTTCTCTGTGACTCATCTGGACTGACTTGGAAATTTGAAATCTTCTCTGGTGTGAGATTGTGTTTGTAGCCTCATATATAATATGTTTATATTATAAATGCACTTTTGCTTAGAAGAACTTAAGGAACAGTTTGAATGCTAGGCTTCTATTAGCTAGCATATCATTTCCTATCCTGAAATTATTTTATAGAGAAAAATATTTAAATATATGACAAAAATATAAATTGTGCATGCAACTGAAAGAATTCAAATTCAGCCAAACTTATAAAATGGGTTATATTATGGTTAGTAAAGATTGAACAAACTGAAAACAGGAATTTAGTAGGTTCTCTCTAAGGTAAGCCCTATACCATAACTCTATTAACAGAGAATTTGTTTGGGGAAATGCTGTCAAGGGTAAACCACAATATGTACTGCATTATAACTACTCCAGAGACATTTTTTAATGGAAAATGTTTCCCAGTCACCAATAGCTTGAAACTACGGTTTTCTTTGTGTGCCATGCACTCCATGAGAGGGCACAGTCAACCAGAGCAGGGAGGAAGTCAGACTGATCCAGGCTGTTTCTCTGCAAACTGACTCAAAGCTTGACGTCATTTCCAACTCATGTATTTTGTACATACATCATCTATCAGATCTAGTAAGATCTGCAAGATACATGGTATCAAAATAAAAGAGGCCTTCATCCTGTAGAGTTATCAGAGTAGAGGAGAATTGGATAGTACCAAATGTGTTCTAATTTCAGTCAGACATATTCATAAAGGGAAATGTTAAATTCAGGCAGCTGACTTAGTGTTGGGTGCCTCCTAAGTCTCAGGATACAAGCCCATCGTTTAGAGCATAGGCACTTCTGGAGTTCTTGTGTGAAATTCTAGTGAGTGAGGAAGAGTGACATGCAGCTGTCTTCAGACTCCCTGTGTATGTGTTCTGCTGAACACAACACATGAGAGTGTCCAGTGTTGTCCGTGGTCAATATCTATGTTCAATCCTGATGGGAGGGGCCTGGGGACTGCCTTGGAGATTTCCCACTGGTGTCCATTTTAAGGTCTGTAATAACATCATGTTAAGATAACATCTCATAAATATGCCACTCTATCAGATTCCATTGCCAAAACAAATGAAAAGCCTCTGTATTGAAGTTGGTGTTAGTCTAACAACCTGTAAATTCTTGAAATTGTTAATAAAATTCCAAATTCTTTAGATAACTTTAAACTATTTAAATTGAGCATTGGTGTCTTTGTTTGACTAAACGTTGAGTTCCTTTTACATCTTTGTTATTTTTAAAGGAAAAGTTGTTTGCCTTTTGTATATGTATGTGCATATGTGTATGTGTACAGGTATATGTATATATGTATAGATAGATAAAATATAGCCTTTAAACAGTTACATGTTAGATATTCTTGTGTTTTATGCTCAACTCAGGTGCCAAAGGAGCCCTCTTATCTGAATAATAAGTATGCACATACATTCTTTAAGAAGTAGTCTGTTGGTCCAAGAAGCCAAACACTGAAGATGCTAAATTTAACTCTTGTGTTTCTGAAATCGAGAAGCTGTTGGTAAATTATTGATTGCTTTTGTACTTTCCATCAGTGTTAATTCAGGTAAAGTCATTAGTCAGTCATTAGGAAATGTGGTTACTTTCCCAAATGGTGATATTTTATTGAAAAACTTTAAAAAGTATTATGCCAGATGCCAAAAGTAAGCATTTGAAAATTTAATTTTAAGTCACTTGTGTAAAATTACATTTTATTGTCTGTATTTTTTTCTGAAGAATTCTGAGATAGTTTGTGTGTTTCCCTTAGTTAATGGGCTACTAAGTTGTAAATTCTCATACCTTTCCTTGGAACATTGTTTATTGTAAAACAGTAGCTAGTGGTTGTACACAATAAAAAACAGTTTTTCCATAAAAGCAAATTTACAAATTTGCCATGTTGAAGTGTGGAAATAAATGTCTTTTGAGAGAATTAATCTGAAGCTACCTTAATTTTTACTCTTCTCCCTGCCAAGATTGAAGAACGAGTTTATCAAGATGTGTCATTTGCCCTGACTCTGGAGAGCCCCTCTGAGCATCAGGCATACCTGAAGTGTGATATCCCACAAAACTCAAGCTGCTGTTTTGGATGGATCTGCATGGGTGGGATTGGAACATCTGGTGCATAGAAGGCAATGGAATTGTCCTTTTAATGACTTCCCCACCGAGTTTTCCCAGTTAACAGTGGAATTCTAACCACACTGGAGATTAAGTCAGCAGCACTGGCTCAGCAGTCTGAAAGGACTTAGAAGGAGTCAGTGTTTCTTGTGGAAAATGTCAGCTGAACCAGGTATCTGGTGATAGATTTTGGTGGCACAGCTCCTTTGTTATGGATGGGTTACAAATGGCTCACAGGTTGGAGTTTAAGTAACCTTCTAAGAAGCGTTTGCAAGTCTTGGCACTTTAGAACTATTTACTTCTGCTAGCCTGAAACTTGGGTTTGATAACCAACTTAGAATCGTGTCCTATTGTTGTTTAAGTGATTGTACTTCATCGAAAGTCTGCATATAACCTCACTTCAGTGTATCACTGTTTGAAGACTATTAACTTTGAACTGGCTGGAAATAGTAGTCTATGCTTGTAATGGCAGCACTGGAGAGACAGGTAGGAGGGCCTTCTACACATTCAAAGCCAGCCTGGTGTGTGTAGTACAGAGTCCAGACTAGTCAGACTACCTATTGAGACCGTATCTCATAACATCAAAAACAAAAACTTATGCTTACCATTCATTAGTGCTGGACTCGTGGCTATAAGTATCAACTCCTGAGCCTGGGCTGTCTTAACACTAAATCTCTATACAAGCCACATCACAGTCTTCTAGTATAAGGACCAAGTACACAGCACAGCAAGCACTTCTGTGTGTCAGCATCATGTTAAACTGAAATCAGTAAAGGTGTTTTTAAGATACTAAAAGTTCTGTGAAAGTATACTGCTTTACCTCCACTGAGAGCAAGTTCGGTGAAGTGGATTTTTCTTTGAGAAATTGTCAAAAGAAGATCATGGCAGAAGCCACAAATTATTTTTCTGCCAATTTTAGACTCCGAGGCTTCTCTGTGACCAGCTGTTTGTGAACTGTTCTACATCAAAGTCAGCAAGAGACTGAAACTGAAGACTGTTGCAGGAAATATTTAAAAAATGGTTCCATCCTGTGCTATTCCCAGCTACTCTCTGCCTTGCGGTCTTGCTGCCTCTAGGCCAGCCCCAGGCAGGGTCTTCCCAGGTTCGGTTGCCTGTCTCAAAGCTATTCCTTCTCAGCCACCAACCCCCTGCAGCTAGTTGTCACAAATCCCCTTAACTCAGTAAATCAAAACTCTAGAAGCTTATAATTAATCAGATTTATACATAATAAATTCTCAACTCACGAGATGCCCATATAATAATATCTGAGCCAATTCATAATGATATAAGCTGCCTACCTATATTAGACAAGTTATCCCAATTATTCTATCCTTTTAGGATATTCATAGCTACCTTTGGCTAATTAAAGCCACACAGAATCTGAATCGTCTTTCTCCTCCATTTTCCTTCCTTACCTCTTCTGTCATCCTCCCTTCTCTCTCTCCTCCTCCTCCCCCAAACTTTTCAGCTCCACCTTCCCTTCTACTGCCCAATCACCCGCTCTGACCTTTATTTTACAAGTTAAGGTGGGGAGAAGGTTCACAAGAAGTCACCCATGTAAGGGATTCACTCCTGGGCCGCAGCCCCTCCTGGGAAAGCAGAATTCGCATCAAAATACAAGCAACACCAGGGCTATCCATCCACCGGGAGAGGACAAGATGTAGCTACTAGTGTCTCCCGGTTTAAATGGCGAATCCACCAGGATTTGCCACAGGAGGGTTTAGATTTAATGTGACTTACAAGATTAGGATTCTAGTTGTTGCACCCAGCGATTGAGTTACCATTGATTCTGAACTAAGTTTGTGTGGTGTTTTCCTTCACATGGCGGCTCGACTGGGTTCCAGTGAGAAAGGTACAGCGGCGGCAAAGTGTGGGTTTGCCAGATGTGCACCACAAAAGAGCATGGGAGTTTTGAAGCATGGGGCTGGCGTGGTTGCAACCCACCAGAAGGAACTTAGTGAGCTGGGTGGAGAGATTTCGGAGCTCTTGAGTCAGAGTCTCCATGAGGTGAGAATAGGCTGGCCATTGCCTGCAGGTGCCTGGCTGGCCAGCCTTTCGGCACCATGCTGGCAATAGCGTGGATTCTTTTTTAATATTTTCCACAACAGAAGACAGTGTACATAGACAATAGCAGAGATACAGCTTCTGTGTCCCTTTTGAAGATCTGCCTTGCATAAAGGGAGGAGAGGTGTATTTTGGTGGGAAATGCCTTAACTTTAAAATTTTTAGTTTAGTCCCTTAAAACCAACCTATCACGTGTGCACTCTTCTAGATAAGGAAATCAAAGTGACACCAATTTCACAATGTCCTCTGAAATCCATTTATACTTAGCATCTTCACTCAAAAGAAATTTTACCACATGTAAAATTTGGGATTCAATCCTCAGCATCACCAAAAAAAACTCCCCAAAACAAAACCCAACTCTATTCCACCCCAACCACACAAAAGGAAAAAAAAATGAAACAAAACAAGACTGAAAACCTTTTTAATTTTTTAATATTTATTCATTTTACATTCTGCTCACTGTCCCCTCTCGGTCATCCCCTCCCATTCTCCTCTGAGCGGGTGGGGCCTTCCCTGGGTATCCTCCCACCCTGGCACTTGAAGTCTCTGCAAGACAAGGCACTTCCTCTCCCACTGAGGCTAGACAGGTAGCCCAGCTAGAAGAACATATCCCACATGCAGGCAACAGATTTTGGGATAGCCCCTGCTCTAGGTGTTCATGATCCACATGAAGGTCAAGCTGCACATCTGTTCCATATGTGTGGGGAGGCCCAGGTCCAGCCTGTGTATGTTCTTAGCTTGGTAAAACCAAAAACCTTTAACGTTCATTTATCAGTGCTGAAGAAATAAGACCAGTTTTCTCCTCAGGAAGTATTCAGTGAAATCAGAATAAAGCTAGTTTTATTTTAAGTACAAGAAAGGACAGGTTCATTCTGACACACAGAGAGGCATCCTTCCCATGTGGGAGCAGCATAGGCAGAGGCCGAGGAGCTGGATGTAGGAGAAAGGCCTTCAGACCAACCAAAGAGCAAGGAGCCTCTAGGACAGGAAGTCAGCTTGCTCCTGTTTTGATCACTGGTACTATTCTGCAAATGTCCACTGAGCACCGGGAGTGCTGCACTGGGAGAAACAAATTTAAACAAGTGGAAGAATACTGAGGCCAATTGTACATGATAAACTATGACATGTTCTGGAAAAAGTGATGTGTGAAACTGGGCAATTCAGTCTGTGGTAAGGAAAAATGTCTGTATGGGGCTACTTTGAAATGGCATGCTTGGCCTTGCAGGCCCCAGGCTTTATTGTCTTGTTCTGGCACATAAGCGGTTCTAGATTTTTCTTTTTAGCTCAGATTTTCCCCCTGGATGTTATTAAGTCAGGTATCATTTCTATTGGGTATAATGTAAGCATCCCCAAATATCCCATATCCCTAAGAAAATCACATCCTCCCCCGCGCCCACATTCCCTCCGCATCTAGACCCTTGACTCTAGACCATCCCTTGCTTGAGATAGCATCATTTACATGTGTATCACATGGGAATCTCTAGGTGTCACTCCAATTTTTGTAGTTCCTTACTGTACCCCTTTCAACTTATAGTTCATATCTCCTTACTGTATCTTTTTTAACATTCCTTGTTTTTAAGTTTTATTTATTTTATTTATATGAGTACACTGTAGCTGTCTTCAGACACACCAGAAGAGGGCATCAGATCCCATTACAGATGGTTGTGAGCCACCATGTGGTTGCTGGGAATTGACCTCAGGACCTCTGAAAGAAAGAAGAAGTCCATGGTTTTAAGGCTTTTATTGTCATAGTGGAGAGTAGATGAGTAAAAACCGTACCCCAGTTTCTCAGAGAGGGCCTGAGATTAAATACCTTTTGCAGGGAGGAGTGTTTGGGAAGGAAAGCTTAATTGGCTAAGCCCTTCTGGCCTTTAGATACTTCATCAAAATGGAGATCTGTCTTGAGGCTACACAATCAGTGTTCATATCCTCTACCTGTAGAGGGGCTTGGGGCATTACCCTTACATGAGTGATGGCCACAAATCTATGGAGGGCTGCAGCCTTGTGTCAGGAGCCTAGTGTCCGGGAACCAGGCAAAACACCTACTATCCCTCAGGGTCACAGTGTTTCCAACCTTAGTTCAACCAGAAACCAGGCTGCCTTTCATGGTCCTACAAGAAGCCACCAACATAAGATCTCAGTGCAAGTTCTTAAAGGTAAACATTGAAAATACTATCCATTGGCTACCCTGTTAGCCATTGCCAAGCCCTTTCACCCTTCCTTGCCTCCAACACAGTAGCTATTCCAACTCACCTGGAATTGAAGATGAACTGGAAGTCTGTTGGGTGGTCTCCAAAGACAGAAATGGTGCTGAGGGCTCCCAACATCTCATATGTGGACTATTTCCATCACCTTGTAAATTTGAAAGGAGAAATGAAGAAATCTAGGAGGTGCTGGTGCTCCTACAGTTGACCCACTGAAATCACTGAAGTGCTGGAAGCTGCCATCTCCATGTCTTGCCAGTATGCAAAAGAAATAAATCTCTGTTTAGTTGAGTTGCTTTCTGACATTAGCAATTGAGAGAATTTTAATTTACACAGTTATCTTTGTTTCTTGAATTTTTGTTCTGGCTGAAGTGTATGGCACAGCATTCTACTTCCACATACATTTTGCAAGCACACGTTCTCATGTATTTCTACTGCCGTCTTTCTCATTGACTTTAATTTGTCTAGGGGAATCCCCAAGTTAAATATCTAACATACACTGCATTTCATAATCACTTTGACAAAGCTAACATCTTTTTGGACATTATCTA